AATATATTTTGCCTCATTTTTACATAGAAACACTACTGGTTTGACAAGATGAAGGGTCTCTTCTAACACAACCTGTAAAGAAACACATCCGTGGTGAAATGCTAGTAAGAAGATACTCACACTTTACTAAGAGCCACCCTTTTTCCAGGTGAAAACTGCAGGCAATGGCAACCCAAAGTTACTGCTTTGTCTGCATTTACATAGCCAATGGGTGCTGTTGTTAGGTCAAAGGGTTGTAATAACTAGAATAGGTGGGATATCTTTGTTGGATGCAATGCAGGTCAGAACTTGAAACTTAAGTTACTTATCTACTCAACCACCTTCTTGGCGATGCTGTTGTTTTAAAGTATAGCACATTTGTTTTTTTAGTATTGTGTGTGGTTTTGTAGAAATCAGAGCTTCATCTCATTAGATAAAATCAGTTTTCCTTGATTTTTGCAATTATTTTTCAGGTGAGCTATGTCCCTGCCGACATCCACTGGTGTATATTGTTGAAAATAAACAGAGACCTTATGTTATGTCTATTGTGATTGTGTACAAAAGCCTCACAGTGCTCTTGGGTGACCAGTGAAGCTTGAATCTCCCTCTATTTACTGTATGGTCACTGTCAGTTCAATGAACTGCCTCCTTGTTCCCCACCATTGTCCCACACTCCCTTAAACATTTGTCACTGAAGTGCCTCCAAAGACAAATAAACTGTCACCGAGAATTCAAACCTGGTAACGGGGAAGAAAAGGGGCGCAGGGGGGACCCAGCGTATTATTTTACATGAAATTGGTTGGGGGTGTGAGAATGGGATTGTGAGAGATTGAGAGCCTGAACTGGGGGAGAGGGATGGAATGTTTCTCTCCTCCGCTCGTTTAGAAAGAGGTGGGCCAAGTCTTGTAAGAAATCCAAAAATCTTGTAAACTTCAAGGATATCAGAGTTGCATTTGTTCTTCAAGGGTCCTTGGTTGTAAGGACATCAAGCTCCTGGCACGCCTCACCTGCTCTGCAGGATGTCGACCAACAAGAATTGTGTGCCACCAACAGCGGTCCTCATGCCAAGTCGGTCATAGAATTGGGAGGGTTGGAAGGAACAGAAAATAAGCTACATCCTCTCTGGGTGCATCTACGCTGTCGAACAAATACAGTTTGACACCACTTTAACTATCATGGCTCAATGCTATTGAGTCCTAGGAATTGTAGTTGGATGAGCTGCTAGCACTCTTCGGCAGATATTGTTAAAGATCTTGGGAAACTACAGATCCCACAATTCCATAACATTGAGCCGTGGACCCTCAGATATGCTTAGGACATTTGGGGTGACACCTTTTATTTTTGTACTATTTCGGCTACATCACAAAACTGGGGGGGGGGGGGGCTTCAACTATACTTAGGATATTTAATCTGGGCATATGCACTGCATAGTTATAGCAGTTTTGCACCACATCAAGTGGGATAGCTCAATCCTATAGAATACTGGGATATGTAATTTTGTAAGGTCTTTAGCCTTCTCTGCTGAAGCGTCCTGGTGTCTCAATGACAAATTCCGTAGGTTGGAAGCACAGCAGTGAAAATTGTATCAAACTGCATTAATTCTGCAGTGTGATGAACCCAGTGTATCTACACTGTATAATTAATGCAGTTTGACCCCACTTTAAATGCTATGGCTCAATGCTATGAAATCTTAGGAATTGTAGGTAGGTGAGGCATCAGCACACTCTGGCAAAGAAGACGAAAGATCTTGTAAAACTACAACTCTCAGGATTCCATAGCATTGAGCCATGGCAATGATATCAAACTGCATTCAATCTACAGCAGTGGATTTCAATTGGTGGGTCCCCAGGTGTTTTGGCCTACAACTCCCAGAAATCCCAGCCAGTTTACCAGCTGTTAGGATTTCTGAGAGTTGAAGGCCGAAACACCTGGGGACCCACAGGTTGAGAATCACTGACCTACAGCGTAGATGCAACTCTGGCCTTCCAGGTTTTCCTGGAACTTCTGTGGCTACAGAACCAATGTTGAGGGACCATGAGAATGACAATCCAATAGCTGGACAACCTCGGGTCCTCCACACAATTAGGACAAGTATAAGAGAGGTTTAATTTGCACCAGAGGTCAAACTCTATCTCTATTTTTTCATGTCAGGAGCGACTTGAGAAACTGCAAGTCCCTTCTGGTGTGAGAGAATAGGCGTTCTGTACGGACGTTGCCCAGGGGACGCCCAGATGTTTGGTGTTTTACCATCCTTGTGGGAGGATTCTCTCATGTCACCACATGGGGAGCTGGAACTGACATAGGGAGCTCAACCCGCTCTCCCCAGATTTGAACTGCTGACCTATTGGTCAGCAGTCCTGCCAGCACAAGGGTTTAACCCATTGCATCTCTGAGGGCTCCAGCTCTCTATATAATAGTCCCAACTCAGAAGTCTTTGCTAATTATCTTCTATATATGATTTGCAAAGACTTCTCAGTTGGGGCTATTATGGATCTTCACTAGAGGGCAAGCTATTGTGTATTTCTTCCCCTCCATTAAACTTTACTATTTTTTACTTGTAATAGAAAGTTACTCACAGGCAAAGAAGGCACTAATGGGATGCCACTCATCATGCCACTCATCCCAACCCCACAATGTGGAAATTTCAGACTCTTAAGAGTCCTTCAAATTGAGTCTTAATTTCATTATAGCAATTAATTATCAGATGTTTGGTAGTGTTATCTATTTAAAAATGTAGTGGACTCCTCCTAATCAGGGATGGGATGTTTGAGATTTTAAAATACAGTATTTGACCATAACCTTGAATGGATAGTTTGAGAAAACATTTACTCATCCCTGAAGAACTAGAGCAGGGGTCCTCAAACTAAGGCCCGAGGGCCGGATATGGCCCCCATGGTCATTTACCCGGCCCTTGCTCAGGGTCAGCCTAAGTCTGAAATGACTTGTAAGCACCCAACAACAATCCTATCTCATCAGCTAAAGCAGGCCGACACTTCCCAGTGAAATACTAATAAGTTTGTATTTGTTTAAATTGTTTTTCATTTTAATTATTGTATTGTTTTTAAGTGGGTTTTTTTGCACTACAAATAAGATATGTGTAGTGTGCATAGGAATTAATTCATTTTTTCCAAATTATAATCCGGCCCTCCAACCGTTTGAGGGACTGTGTCTTGGCCCTCTGTTTAAAAAGTTAACTGATGAGATAGGATTGTTGTTGGGTGCTTACAAGTCATTTCAGACTTAGGTTGACCCTGAGCAATTGAACTAGAGACTTAGCACTTAGTTAGGAAAGAATCCTTTTTCAAAGTTTCTCTCAACTATTTCTTCTTTGATACCTAAAGTTTTTTTTTTAAAAATTCCTTTTTTGTTTTCACAATTGGTTTTCCCATTCATCAGTCAATCAGGCAACCAGATTATCGTTGTGTATTTCTAGGTTTGATTAACTTAGGTTGGCATTTTATTTTAAATATATATAGTTTAATACATTAATATGTACAAAAATCTAGCAAAGGCTCCTTTGATCGAGTTTTAAAACACATCAAGCGTTTTTCAACAACTAGCAGCCCCAATTTTACCTTGTTCTAAAAGAAGAAAAAAGGGGGTCTAAGAAAACATGACAATCCCCCACCTCACCCCAGTCTCAAGTTTATTTGTTGTGGCTTTTAATCTCCTGAACTTGTCTTCCAATCACAGCCCTGGAAAAAAAAGTTTTAAATAAACAGCAGGGATACAAGATAAATAAACTTTTTTTAAAAAGGCAAGTGCCTAGCTTGGCACAGTTCAAACTCAATCCCCTGGAGGACCGAGCTCTCTCTTTTGTGTTAATGTTTAAAAGATTTTCAAATGCTGGAGTTTATTCCTACTGCAAACATTTCTATTTACAAGGTCAAGTGTATCAGCACTCGAGACAGCTTAAGAGCGTAATTATTTATCTAAGGGCATTTGAGTGTAGATCAGTAGCTCTGGCAGAAAACCAGCCTTCAGTGGACTGCAAAACAATCACTAAGGCCAGGATCAGACAAGGGTTTGTCTCTGTTGTTTGGTTGTTTATCTCTGCCTTCTTCCACGTGGGACAGATTTGTACAGCGTTCCAAACCGGCTGCTATATTGCAATGCTCAGAAAATGAGATTTCTTGAGTATGCAGATAAGACACTAGACTTTCTAGGGAAATTATTTCAATAACAATGAGTTACTTCCAAAGGAACAGCTTCCAACCTCTGGAGAAAGAACAAGGAGCATCCCTGGAATTGTTCTCGTTTTGAAACCTTCCTTGTTGCCATGTCAACAAGTGTTAAGTCTAAAAACCTGCCACTCATTGAGCAAGACTGTTTTCAAAGCGGCATTTATTTCTTCAAGGTAATTAATCTCTAACTTGAGGTGAACAGTTGCCAACAGCTGTTCAAGACAGCAAAGTTGGCAAATCTTCCAGTTGTTTACACCCAAAGCAGTGTCATTGAATTACATGGGTTTATTTCAGGGTAAAACTTCTGAACGCAATCATATCTCATTATTGGACCCCCTTGTGGTGCAAAAGCCCTTGTGCCAGCAGGACTGAAGACCAACAGGTCAGAGGTTCGAATCCTGGGAGAGCATGGATGAGCTCCCTGTCAGCTCCAGCTCCCCATGCTGTAACATGAGAGAAGCCTCCAACAAGGATTTTTTTTTCATGTCGGGAGCGACTTGAGAAACTGCAAGTTGCCTTCTGGTATGAGAGAATTGGCCGCCTGCAAGGGCGTTGCCCAGGGAACACCTGGATGTTTTCTGATGTTTTATCATCCTTGTGGGAGGCTGGTAAAACATCTAAACATCTGGGCATCCCCTGGGCAATGCCCTTGCAGATGGCCAATTCTCTCACACCAGAAGCGACTTGCAGTTTCTCAAGTCACTCCGGACATACATGAATGAATGAATGAATGAATGAATGAATGAATATCTCACATTATTTGCATTCTAGTTTTACTGCCCCTATTTTCTCTAGCTGTGGAGTTCTAAAAAAAAAAAGGCCAGAAAATATACACAATTCTTTTAAAATCTCTCTTTACTAATTTACACATAAAAATACACAAGCAATAGATACATAAAACCATAGGATCTTTTCACACTTTCTATAAAAATACAATGTTTAAGGCAGCTCAGAGAGACATTTCATACAGTTCTACAAAGTTCATAAAGTCTCTCAACAACGTGGAAGTTAACTTCGGATCTGTAAAATACACTGTACATATGATCTAGCATAGTCTTTTTCCCCATGGGAATTTCTGTTGCTTTTATCCCTTTACAATATCCAAATGAGGTCTGTACCTTTGTAACAAAAGAATAGCAGGTGTATTTATTTCCTCTTGCAATTTGGGTGCATTTCAATCTGTAGTTTCTTAAAAAATAAATTATTCCCAAAGTATACAATTTTATAAAATCCTATGTACAAGGAAGAACAACTGGTAACAAATCCCAGTTTTAAATACATTTTATATACGATGTACCAGAGGTCAGTCCCCTGATAAGAATAAGAGGCAATATAGTTTTTCATGGTATTTTTTTTACATACTGAGTTTCAAAAGTGTATTTTGAAGATGGCAGTGCACAGCTCTTTTAAGACAAAGGTTGCATTGTTCAAAACAGATGCTTGTGTGTGTTGTGTGTGTGAACATCTCCCCCTCGGAAGAGGACTTTGGGGAGTCCCTCAGCTCCCTCCGCTTTGCCAGGAAAATCATTGGGACGACAGTGTCAGCCAACCAGAAATGAGGGCCCCATGAGGCAGAGATAGAAGTCTCTTTTTTGGAGAGGAAAAGTGGGATACAGTTACAATAACCAGAGTTCTTCCTCACTTAACGTCTCCATTTTCCTCTCTTTCTGCCTTTTTTGTTACTTTGTGTTTATTGCCTACATTGGATGATCCTTTGCTCTCCCTGTATGCATTGCTTGACTTTAACAGTCAACAGATCAGCAATTTTTTCCTCCCAAGTTGAGGCAAAAGAGATTTGCTGGTGAGCTTTTTAGCATTGCAATTCTGGCTATTGCAAGGGCCACTTTGGACATTAAACAGCAGTGGGGTGAGCCATCCTTCTTGGAGGAAGGAGGGGAGAAGACATGAAAATGGTGTGAATTAGGCCCTATGGAACCTACAGATCTCTCATATATTAAGGACTATAGCTTCCACCACTCCAATGGCTGGCCATGCTGATTGGGGCTGATGAGGGCTGGAGGTCAACATCTGGAGGGCCATAGACTTTTCACTAGATGTAGATCAGCAGAGGCACTTGTAGGACATATATACATTTTGCTACTTTATATACAAGCTAGAAAGCTACCCTGGTGGTGCAGCAGGTTAAACTGCTAAACTTGCTGACTGAAAGGTTGGCGGCTCAAATTGGGGGAGCAGGGGGAGCTCCTGCTGTTAGCCCCAACTTCTGCCAACCTGGCAATTTGAAAACATGCACATGTGAGTAGATTAATAGGTACTGCTTCGGTGGGAAGGTAACAGCGCTCTATGCAGTCATGCCGGCCACATGACCTAGGAGGTGTCTATAAACAACCTGCTCTTCAGCTCAGAAATGGAGATGAGCATCACACCCCAGAGTTGGACACAACTAGGCTTAATATCAGGGGAAATCTTTACCTTTACTTAGAAAGCTACAGCTTAACTAAAGCTTCCTCAGCCCTTTGCACCATGCCAGTAAAATAAAAGCATGTGCAAACACAACCGGTGAAAAATTACATGTAATTTTAATGTTTCATTCTACCACACAGAAGTATTCAGGTCTGAGAAAAGTTAAGAAAACACACTAAAACCTCTCCCTTAGAATTCTCTTAGTGAAATCCAAATGAGAATTTTCTTTCATGCATCACCTTGAATGCTATGAGCCTTAACCTAAACTGGTGAGGAGTAGAAAGGCCTTAGTTTCTAGTTGCTGACCAGCTTTGTAAGGCAGCAGTTTGTTTCTGAGGCACTTTTATCTTTCTTTTATCTTCAACATGCCAATAATGTGAAGGGAAACAAAAACATCAGACCCACCATTACCACATTTGCTATGTTTTCCTTGATGAAGTTCAAGGTGGCTTGGCCATGTGGCAAAAAAATAATAATCCCAAAACAAACCCAAACCTTATAGTCTTCTTTTAAACTCATCTGCTTACTGCTAATGAGTAGAGTGGCAACAATTTTGCATAGTGCATGCCAAGGGAGACATTTCATACATTAGCTTCATGTAGGTCCAAAGAGAATGCCTGCATATATCATACCGCACAACTCTTGTTGCTGTTTGTACACTTTAGGTACCTGCCACTAGTTGCACACACATAATAAGCACCACATGGGCGAACATTTTCAGCTTCTTACAAAAATAGTACAAATAAGGCAAACCTAAAGCCCCAATCTCAAACATGCTTATTTGAGACCTCATTACACTAGTGCACGGATCCACTTTAAATCTAGTTTCTGCTTCCTGGGATTTGTAGTTTAGGGAGGAGCTTTTAAACTGCTCAGCTTCACAACAAACCCCAGAATTCTTCAGGAGGCAGAAACCGGATTTAAAGTGGATTCGTGCTCTCGTGTAATGAGGCAGTAGTAGGTCAAGTGTGGGTCTTATTCCCAAATAGACCTGTTGAGAATTGAAGCACTCAGTAAACCAATTCCAGGCATTTCCTTCTGCAATGTGGTGACTTTAAACACAAGAGCACCATTCCCATTCATTTTAAGACAGTCAGTGCCCTAAATAAGGCATAGTGAAAGGGGAATAAGACATTTGTGCAGGGAAAGGCTTGTCCACACAGCAAGAAAGGGGCTGACACAGCTCAGCTCTTCTGAAATAGTGGGGCAAGTCCAGGGAATCCCTAAAATGGACCCCTGAGGAGAGCCCACTCCAAGTTAAGACAATAGGGGATGAGGCAAACTCAGGTAAGGCACAGTTGCTTTAAGAATTGGGCACAGGGAGGGAAATGGCACCTATTTTATAAAGAAGGCATCTCAATAAGGAATGAGGTAAATAAGGACACTTCCACGCAGCTCTATATCCCAGAATATCAAGGCAGAAAATCCCACAATATCTGCTTTCAACTGGGTTATTTTAATCCATACTCATATAATGTGGGATTTTTTGCTTTGATATTCTGTGATATTGGGCTGTGTTGAAGGGCCCTAACAGAGGGCCATATATGGGGCTTCCTCTACTTCAGGCATGTGCAAACTTCAGCCTTCTCTTCAGATGTTTTGGACTTCAACTCCCACCATTCCTAGCAGCCAGTGTTGAAATCCAAAACACTTTAAGAGAAGGCTGAAGTTGGCTCATGCCTGAGGCTGGGGGAAGCTGGTGTTTTGGACTTCAACACCAGCTGCCAGGATTTGAAGTCCAAAACACATGGAGCAGGCATGGGTAAAATTCAGCCCTCCTGGTGTTTTGGGCCTCAACTCCCAGAATCCCTAACAGCCTATTCTGGGAGTTGAAGCCTATTCTGGAAGTTGAAGTCCAAAACACATGGAGCAGGCATGGGTAACTTCAATCCTCCAGGTGTTTTGGACTTCAACTCCCAGAATAGGCTGTTAGGGATTCTGGGGGTTGAAGTCCAAAACAGCTGGAGGGCTGAAATTTGCCCATGCCTGACCTGGAGAGAGGGATGAAGTTGGCCTATGCCTCCTCTACAACAGTCAACAGGTCAAGCAGAGCAAGAAGCTCCCACAACAAACGCAGGCCAAAGAAGAAAGGCAGTCAAGTGTGGCTTCTCCCATCAGCATCCGGGTCCTAAAGGGAGGCTTTTAAGCGGGGAGAGGAGGAGAGGACATGGGTCAACTTGGGCCCTCCAGGTGGTTTGGACTCCAACTCCCAGCATGCCTAACAGGCCCTTCCTTCCTTTTCCCCCTCAGCCGCTAAACCACCTGGAGGGCCCAAGCTGTCCCTTGCCTGGGAGAGAGGGCTCCCCCGCCGAGTCCCTTCCGAAGCGGCTAGGAGGCGAGCAGGAGCCAAGCCCAGGCGGGCAGGGCGAGCAGCAGCGTCCAAGGCGGTCCTAAAGCCCTTCCCGCTCCGTGGTCGGGGTCCTCGTGCTTCCTGGGCGGCGGGGGCAGCGCGCCTTCCCCGTCCTCGCTCCGCGGCGGCGAGTGGGCGGCCAGGTCCTCCTCGTACTCGTCGTAGTAGTCTTCGTCGAGGGTGCCGGCCCCGCCGTCGGAGGAGGCGCCGCTGCTCCCGTGGCCGACGCTGAAGCAGAGCCGGGCCATGTTCTCCTTGATGGACTCGCAGATGGGCCGCTCGAGCCCGTCGCAGACGCAGTCGTTGAGCAGCAGCGCCTTGGGCACAGCCAGCATGTCCTGGATGACGGCGCGGCACTCCTCCGTGCAGCGCAGCCCGTTGAAGAGCTTCCCGCAGTGCGCCATGTAGCGGCCCAGCGCCAGGCTGCAGCGCCCGTCCCAGTCGCAGCGCCGCCGCGCCTCCGTGCAGCCCATCGTCCCGCCGCCACCGCCGCCCCCGTTCCCGCCACTGTCGCTCCCCCCGCCGTTGCCGTGCCCGCCCATGCGGGGTAAGCAAGGCTCGATGGCGCGCTTGGTGGCCCGGCAGTTCTCGTCCTGGTCGCAGTCGCAGTCCTCCAGCGCTGGCCCGCGCCGCGTGTGGTTGAGCTGGATCAGCGCCGAGATGCAGTGGCTCGGGCAGCGACGCCTGTGATTGTTGTTGTTGTTGTTATTGGAGGAAGCCGCCTCTCCTCCCATCCCGCCGCCGCCGCCGCCTCCTCCTCCTCCTCCGGCGGCCATGAGGACGGGCGCGCAGGCCTCGGCGTACTGGCTGAAGGCGTAGCTGCAGTCCGGCTCCTCCTGGCACTGGAGCATGGCCTGCCAGCAGATCAGGCGCCGGCCTTGCGAGGAGGCCACGAAGCCCAGCAGGAGCAGCGGGAGGAGGAGCGGGAACAAGGGCAGCAGCCGCCTGCCTCGGGCCACCATTCTGCTGCAGAAGGGAAAGGAAGAGGAGGAAGCCGCATGGGGGTCTCCCTCATCGAAGCCTCCCCCCACTCTCTCTCTCTCTCTCTCTCAGAGGGAGGCAGGCGGAGAAGGACGCCCTCCTGAGCTCATCCCGCCGCCGCCACTTGCTGCCTTCCCTTCTTCCCAAAGGAGCAGCAGCTCCTCTCCTTTCTTTCTCAGAGGAAGCCAAGCGAGCAGCTCGTCTCCTCTCCCTCTCTCGTGTCTCCTTTCTCTCTCAGGGGAAGCCAGGCGGAGATGAAGCGCTGCCTCGTGAGCTCATGCCGCCGACGCTTGCTGCCTTCCCTTCCCTCCTTCCCAAAGCAGGAGCAGCAGGAGCATCCCGCCAGGAAAGCAGCTTCCCTTCTCTCTCTCTCTCTCTCCTCGGAAGCTCCTTTCCGCCTTCGGAGGGTTAAGGGCAAGCCAGGGAGTCCTTCTTTCTTCCCTCTCCAAAGCCTCCTTTCTCTCTCTCCCTCGGAAAGGAAGGAAAAGCAGCCGAGCTCCGAGAGGGACTGCCTTTTCTTCCTTGGCAGTTCAGTCGCCTTGCTTTCTCTCTGTCTCCGAGTCCACTGCTTGCCTCCAAGGTTCTCCTTCGCCTCCTTCCTTCCTTTCTTTCTCTCTCCTTCCGAGTCCCCGTCTCTCTGAGGCGCTGCTCTGCCTCCAGACCGGGCTTTAAATACAAAAGTGCCCTCCGACCAGCAGCAGCAGCGTGCTCGCATCAGACCTCATTATGCATGCATGGCAAAGCAAACAAACAAAACAAAAAAAATTAGGGACGCTTTTTCCTCCCCCTAAACCGCCTCTTCCTCTCTTTTTCGGACTCGCCCCCTCCCTCTCTCTCCTCTCTCTCTTTCTCTTACTCCGCTGGCTCTTTCTCCTCTTCTCCTCTCCCCCTCCCCTTCGTCGCCCGGCCCCCTTTTCCCTGGCTTCTCTGACTTCTGATTGGTTGGCCGGCTCGAGGCTGCTGTTGAAATTCCCTCCCTCCTTTCTCCGTCGACTTCTGATTGGTTGGCCATGCCGAGGCTGCTGTTGAAATTCCCTCCCTCTCTTTTTTTACGAGCTGCTGGAGAGAGAGAGAGAAATAATGAAAGGGGAGGAGGGAGGGGGGAGCCTCGCGGGCAGCTCGCATTCAGCCCTTGAAAAGAGAGGCTTAAGGTGATTGACAGCAGCCCCCGGGGAGCCCCGCCTCCCCTTAAGGAGGCTCCATCTCCACCTCGAAATGCCCCTGGAAAAAGAAGGCAAGAAAGGAGGGAAAGTTTGCAACTTTGGAGAAGCGGGGCTTTGCTTCCTCTCTCTTTCTCTCTTCGTGCCTCTTCCGTGTATTCTGGGATGTTTTCATTCTTTTTAAGGCACAACTGTAGGATTGGAAGGACTGCTCCCCTCTGGAGGAACCTTAAGACAAACAATGGTGGGAAATGTGTGGTGGAAGGCTTTCATGGCCGGAATCGCTGGGTTGCTGTGACTTTCCCGGGCTGTATGGCCATGTTGCAGAAGCATTCTCTCCTGACGTTTCGCCTTCATCTATGGCAGGCATCCTCAGAGGATGTGAATAAAGAACAACATTCAAGTTCCTTCCACACAGCTAAATAAAATCCCACATTATCTGTTTTGAACCGGAATAGATGGCAGTGCGGACTCAGATAATCCAATTCAATGGGATTTTCTGCCTTGATTTTCTGAGTTATATGGTTGTGTGGAAGGGCTCTCAGAAAACAGGATAATTCCAGACAGAAAACAATCATGGCCAGCTAACACCTCCTAACAGGCAAGAAGCAGCCAGGCTTTGAAGCTGCAAGGCCATTCAATGCTAATCAAGGATGGCCAATTGCAACATTCACACTTGCCTCAAGCAGACAAGAGTTCTTTCTCCCACCCTGGACTTTCCACAGATATATCAACCCCACTTGTCCTAGGATCCTTCCACATAGCCCTATATCCCAGAATATCAAGGCAGAAAACCCCACATTATCTGATTGTGGACTCCGATAACCCACTTCAAAGCAGATACATGGGATTTTCTGCCTTGATATTCTGGGATATAGGGCTGTGTGGAAGGGCTCCCTGTCCAAATTCAGATAATGTGGGATTTTCTGCCTTGATATTAGGGATATAGGGTTGTGTGGAAGGACTCCCTGTCCACATTCAGATAATGTGGGATTTTCTGCCTTGGTATTCTGGGATATAGGGCTGTGTGGAAGGGTCCCTGGCTTCCAACAGACCTCACAACCTCTGTAGATGCCTGACATAGATGCAGGCAAAACGTCAGGAGAGAATGCTTCTGCAACATGGCCATACAGCCTTGAAAACTCACAGCAACCCAATGGTGGGGAAGTACTTATCTGGATCAACAGGGACACACTCATTTGCACTTCCAGTCAAGGGGAATCATGGTCCTCTTTGTCCAAAGAGGAGAAAGGAAAGTTTGATTAAGGCAGAAATGAGTCTTCAAAGGGGGGAATACTCTCTTCCCTGATGGCTTCTTAAATGTGGAGTTTTAATCTTGATTCTCCCCTTAAACATAGGATTAACCCAAGATGATGCTCCAAATAATCAGAGCTAGACTACAGCTCCCAGCATCCTCCACACAGGATGGTCCTTGGGGGGTTCTGGGAGTGTTCTTAACTTTCCCTGCAAAACAGCAGTAGGCATGAAATTCCTGAAAGGGCATCTACCCTCATGCAGTTTGAGACCACTTTATCTGCAATGTCTCAACGCTACGGAAGCTTGCGAGATGTAGGTTGGTGAGGCAAGAGAAGGCAAAAAGACCTTGTGGAACTGCAGCTCCCAGTATTCCATAGTATTGGGCCATGGCAGTGAAAGAGGTGTCAAATTGCATTCATTCTAATCTACATTGTAGATCAGGCCTGGGCAAACTTGGGCTCTCCAGGTGTTTTGGACTTCAACTCCCACAATTCCTAACAGTCTCGAGCCCTTTCCTTTCCCCCCTCAGCCGCTTAAGCGGCTGAGGGGGGAAAGGAAGGGGCCTGAGACTGTTAGGAATTATGGGAGTTGAAGTCCAAAATACCCGGAGAGCCCAAGTTTGCCCAGGTCTGGTGTAGATTCACCTCTAGTCACAGGAAATTGGCTTGCAATCTGAAGTGATTTGGCCAGATTGAGAGGTCAATACTGCCCTTTTGAGCAGTCAGAAACAAACAACCCTTACTTGAAAATCTACAGATGTGTCTGGAAACAATGCTTCAGCTAGTAGGCTACAGAGTAACTGAAACTTTTGTTTTGATTTCAGGGCTGCCTTAATTTTCTCATAATAATAATAATAACTTTCTGGCCACGAGGGGCACCCGTGTCCGCTGCCTGCCTAAGACTGGCTGGCACTTTTTCTTTCAGCGGGAGGGAGACCATCCACTCCATCTGTCATCAAAATCAGCACTAAAGCTATTTTCCAGAACCAAAGGGAGCCTGGATTTGGGAGATAAATGTTGTCTTAAAATCTCATGTTAATATAGGCCTGCCCTGCAATTAGGAGGCAAGCTGGTGGAATAATTTTTCGGTGTATTCCCATTAAGGGTTTGCTCCAGTTTGTTTTTACATTCAGCAGATGACTCATAGAGGGGGAGTTTTTCCCCTCAGTGCTCTTCTGTGAGTAGATTTTACTTTGTTTTCAGTGTTATAAACCACCTCTCCTCTTCTGGAATCGTAAGGTGCATTTACACTGTAGAATAAATGCAACATGACACTATTTGAACTGCCATGACTCAGGCCCCTCCCACACAGCTGAATAAAATCCTACATGATCTGTTTTGTACTGGAATATATGGCAGTGTGGACTCAGGGCCCTTCCACAGAGCCATATAACCCAGAATATCAAGGCAGATAATCCACAATATCTACTTTTTTCATATCAGGAGCAGCTTGAGAAACTGAAAGAATTGGCCATCTGAAATGATGTTGCCAAGGGAACATCCAGATGTTTTACCATCCTGTGAGAGGCTTCTTTCATGTCCCCACATGGAAAGCTGAAGCTGACAGATGGGAGCTCACCCAGCTCCTTGAATTCAAACCACTGTCCTTTCAGTCAGCAGGCCTGCCAGCACAGGGTTTTAACCCATTGCACCACCAGGGGCTCCAATATCTGCTTTGAACTGGGTTATCTGAATCCACACTGCCATATAACCCAGTTCAAAGCAGAGAATGTGGGATTTTATGCATCTGTTTGGAAGGAGGCTGAGATAGTTCAAAGCAGATATTGTGCGATTTTCTGCCTTGATATTCTGGATTATATGGCTGTGTGGAAGGGCCCTCAGTGCTATGGAATTTTGGGAGTTTAGTGAGGTGCCGACATTCTTCAGCAGAGAAGACTCAAGTCCTTATAAACTATAACTCCCATTATTCCATAGAATTGAACCAAGACAGTTGAAGTGGTCTCGCACTGCATAAATTATACAGTGTTGATGCATCCGTTAATATACAGCATTCAATGTGATATTCATCAGCATTGCAGGCTGTAAGTCTGAAACTCTGGGCCCTTCTACACAGCCCTATATTTCAGAACATCAAGGCAGATAATCCTGCAGTATTTGCTCTGAACTGGGTTATCGGAGTCCATATTACCATATATCTCTTGATTTTCTGGAATATAGGGCTGCGTGGAAGGGCTACCGGAGTGAAATTCACAGGCTCCATAACTGTTGTGTAGAAAAGGGAATTTCAATGGGTGTTGCTTGTTTGGCTTGGTGGCAAGCATCGCTTACTGAAATGCCTTCATCCATATGACCAACCATTAAAGGTACAGGGACACTCCCCAGTTTTCACTCTGGCAGTCATCAGTGGCCACCAAACAGATGAGGTTATTGGTGCTTAGCTGTGGAGATACAATGCAGAAGACGTTTATAAGAATTCAAGTTGGGGAAGCAAAGAGCACAATGATTTATATGAATGAGTTCTGCAATCTGGGTGATGCAACTGGAAAGGTTCTGTCCCATGTCTCAGACAAGGAGAAATGGACAGACCCACATTGGCAATAGAATATGGAACAGAATAGAACAATGGGCATCTGCAATGCTATAGAGTTGGCCATTTTGTGGGAGTTAGGGATGAAGAATCCATGTAAAGTAAAAAAGCGGAACATACAGGCCATTTTTGATCCGAGAGAATGCTTCTCCGGGCATTTATAGATCCTCTAATGCAATTCTGTGGTCAACTTCCACCAGAGGTTGCATATAGGGAAGCAGCAGAGGTGGCATCAAATGCTATACTCTGCAAAAAAATCAAATCCATGAATGCTTAACCCACAAATGCATAGGGGTGGCTGTATATCTGCAAGGCTCACTAATTCTACAGTGTACTGTAGATGCACCCATAGAGCTAGAAGAGACCCAAGGGCCATCCAGTCCAACTTCCTTCCATCATGCAGGGATCAACAACAAAAGCATCCCTGACAGAGGGCCATCTAGTTATTTTTAAAAACCTCCAGAGAAGGAAACTCCACAACACTCCAAGGCAGCATATCCCTGGTGCCTTTAAAATGTCCTATCATGTTGGCTGGCTATGTAATTCAACACATCTGGAAGGTGCCAAATTTGGAAGATATTGTTGGTTTAGAAACTTGGGGTGAATCTGCAGTGTTGAAATAATGCAGTTTGACTCCATTTTAACTGCCATGGTTCAATGCAAGAGAATCCTGGGGTGTGTATTTTGGTGGGCACCATCACTCTTTGATAAAGAAGGATAAAGATCTTGTAGGTTCACCCTTGGATTCAGGAAAGCTGTAGCCTACTTCACATATGACAGCTTTGCAGAAATTATACTTATCGAGGATGATGTGTAAAATGCTCAGACAGAACAAGTATAATAATCCTCCATGCTTATATTCCAAAGTGCACGTTCAGAATATTTTTTTTTAGGAAGGAGAGGGTTCACCATGTTAGTATGGTGCAGTAAAAACAACAAAGAGTCCTGTGGTATCTTAAAGACTAACCTGTTTTATTTGGCATGAGCTTTCATGGACTGTAGCCCATCTCATCAGATGCATGTGGGCTGAAGTCCACAG